ATTCTGCAATTTGTATACGGGGTAAAAATGGGAGTTCATAACCCACTTGAATCAAAGTGTGAAATATGATATATCAAGAACTATGTAATGTTTTGAACAACCAATAATAAAAAAATTTAAAAAAATATGATAAAATTATTTCTGTAGATACAGGTATCTATTGATTTAGTTCTTGGATCAAGAACATAACATCATCAATATGAAACCTAATTTATGCCTTCTCATATTATACACACTTCCATGTGATAGTCAGGGATCCATAAAAACTAAGAAAAAGGAAGAAAGAAGGAGAAAAAAGAAAAAAAAATGAGAGTTTGGATCAAGAACCCATCTGGTTCTTGTCAGAGACGATAACTGAACAGTGCTGTTAAATTTTAGCAAAATCTGGATGTGTGACTAAGAAGTCTTGGTAGTTTAAGGTTGTCAATTCTCTCAGAATTTACACATTCTAATTCACAGTCACAAAAGATTATGTTTTTGACGTACTATGGTTCTATATTCATCTGGAAAAAATAAAAGTGAAAAGACATAGAAATGATTGGCAGAGGACCTATATGATGTTAAGAGATATTATACAATATAATAAATATAAAAACATAGTACTAGAGCAAAAGAGAAGAGATCATCAGCCAATCAAAACAGAAAACCCAGAAATAGAAGTATACACAATGTAGCATTAAGAAGATTTTTCAAAATTAGTAGCAAGACAAGAAATTATTTCACAAATTTTGTTGGAACAGTACCTCATATCACCTATAAAATCAATCCCTTAGATGAGTTAAATATCTAAATGTTAAAAAGGAAAAATGAATTTAAATAAGGTTATATAAAAACATTCAGACTCAGTGACATACACTTGTAATTCCAGTGACTCTGGAGGCTAAGTCAGGAGGATCACAAGTTTGAGGCCAGTATCAACAACTTAGTGAGGCCCTCAGCAACTCAGCAAGACCCTGTCTCAAAAAAAATAAAAAATAAAAAGGTCTGGGGGTGGAACTCAATGGTAAAGCACCTTGGGTTTAATTCCCACTATTCCCTCTCAAAAAAAGGTTACGTAAAAACAAAAGATTGATGGATTTAACTACAAAATATAAAACACATGTATATACATATATATTATATGCCTAAAACCAATAAAAATATAAATACACTAATAGAATAAAGAATTCATGTCACAAAAAGCTATACCAATTTATACTACCCTTAACAATGTGTAAGACAACATTTGACCTTGCACTCTTGTTAATCCTTTTTTCCCCATATTTTCCAGTACAAAAAGTGAAAATTATATTTAACTCAATTATTTTTATTACAAAGAATGTGGTACATTTTTAATTATAAAAAATAATTAAAATTTTGTTTGAGAGATTAATGCAAACATCTATTTTTGTTGGTTTCTCAGAAGCAAGACATTAACCAATAGTTTCAACCATAAGAAATTACTGATCTTAGATTGTTGAATGTACAAAAATGGCAACGTCAGAGCCAGGCTTGGTGGCTCATGCCTGCAATCTCAGCAGCTCGGGAAGCTGAGACAGGAGGACCGTGAGTTCAAAGCCAACCTTAGCAACTGTGAGGTGCTAAGCAAGTCAGTGAGACCCTGTCTCTAAATAAAATACAAAAAATAGGGTGGGGGATGTGGCTCAGTGGTGGAGTGCCCTGGTACCCCCTCTCCCCCACCAAAAAATAAGTGGCAGTGTCAGAAGGCTTAGCTTAATGGATACTGAGAGCCTATTTGGATTCTTCACTTGTTTGGTGTCTGCTAACTTTATAGATCTCACTGTTTACCTAACCATGATGTACGGAAAATAAATTAAAAGTTGTATTTCCATAAATGTTAGAGAGATTGATTGAAAAATCTATGTTGGTTTTTTTTTTTTTTAATGAAGGAAAACTGGTGTTTATATGAATGTTTAGTAAAGGCCAAACTCTTTCCATCACCTGCAACATTTACTTCAAAAAAACCAATTTCTTGTCATTTATCTGACATGGTTGCCTAAATAACCTTTTGAAGGCATGGAACACACTGTCAGTTTAATAACTGTCCCAAGCACACATGTATGTATAAACTCTTAGCTCAATACTCCAAGCTCCTTAATGCTCTTTACACAATATCTCCTGTTATCTGCTACCATGTGGTCACCAGTTCAGGCAGTGTATTCCCAAAACATGACCTGTTTACTTCTGGCTCTTTGCTTTTAGTTTGACATATCAATTCCACTTCTTCTAGCTCCTTCACTTGTCTAAACCATATCTATCATTCACATTCCAAATCAAGGCTTATTCATTTCTAGGAGACTGTAGGGGAAGGCCAGTCCTAAAGTACTTCCTAAAGCACCCATGATCCACTCTGTTATATTCTACTTGTCTATGTGTCTCACTTTCTTGACAAGATTTAAACTTTCGTGTAGTACCATTCACTCAACTCTCGACTCTCTGGACCATAAACATCTTGGTCACTAATGTATGCAAAGTATTTTAGTAAACTATTTCATATGCAAAGTATTTTAGTAAACTATTTCAATTTCCATTCCAACTGGCCTAGTGACAATTGCGATGAGCATCAGCCCCAAGTGCTTGAGACAGAAAGCTCCACCGTAGTGACAATCACATCCCTATTTTTTTTAACCTCAATTCTCCTTTTTCTCCAGTAGGATCTGACTCTGCTAAATGATTTTTCCCTTCAAGCGCAACCACCAGTGGAAGATGTTCTTTCCCAGGATGGGATAAGGCATTGATTCAGGAGAAGGCATATGCTGCCGGCAAAACTCTTCCAAATCTTTTTGTCATCTTGGCTTTTGGACTTCAGGAAAATAATAACAAATATGCAAATAGAAAGAAAAGTGGCAAGACATTTTCATGGTTTCTTAAGAAGTGCTTTTTTGTGGTTAATGCCTCTTTGTGTAATGCTGCCCCTGAAGATTATAAGTCATGTTCACAGCCTTGTCCATTGTCTTTAGAGTTTTAACAAATTTATTAAATAAAACTTGCTCATAGTTAGGATGTCTACCTAAAGTCATGTCTCTTCCTGGCCTTAATAAGATGAGGCCCTTTAATATTTAACATAAACTTCTTTTATTAAAGTTATATAACTTAAATAATGAGAACAGTTTGGTTGCAGCATTCACATATAACGTTGTCATTAGTTCTGTTTATTCTTTTATTTTTATTATTGTGTCTTAAAATATTTAAGAATGACATATGCCCTCACATTTTTGAACCCTTCAAATGTTTCTGAAACTCAGAGTAAGCTATCAGATATATTTTTTCTCATTTGATGTATTGTTTGCTCCTTGGTGTAGAAGACCACAATAATATATCAATAATTTATGTGAGAGGAAGTTCTAAGGTTGCTAGAACTTGAAAGATATTACATTGCTTAGAGAGTGATTTTATTTTCTTAAAATATTCAGAAGAAAGTATGAGCAAAACCTGTTTTTTATTTTATTATGTTTGTTATGAGGTTATAATTTGATAACTGTTCTGTTTTTACCCAAACTAAACTTAGAGAAAAATCTGCAAATGAAAAAAAAATAATATGTGTTTAGTTCCAAGTACTCCTTTTATTTTCAAATTTCTTTTTACCCATCAGTGACTGACTGCAAGGCAGTATTTTCTGCTCTGCATACCTTTTCATCTTGGAGGTTAGAGAATTACCCACCCCCATCTCCTTACTTTTCTATTTTTTTCTAAGTCCTACTCTTCACAAGGAAGTCAGAAGTGTGACAGAAAGGTGTGATTTTTAATTTACACCAGAGTCTCGCAAATAATGACTTTTCACACCCTGATATTGCTGCTTAGCCTAGGGGAGGAGCTCTGTGGCTACTGTTTGTCGTAGCAAATTAAATCCACTGCTGTAATTCAGGAAGACATTCTTCTATATTTAACCCTTGTTTTCAACTTGTGTTTGTGAATACTTATGAGTGTATGGCTTATTACTTTGAAGTATGCTGGTTTTCTAGGAAATTCTTTTTGGAGACTGTTATTGTCAGATTGTCAAGTTTAAAGGGAAACTTCTTTCTCCTTTCTACTGTTCTCACAGTGATGGTGGTAATTGTAACTTATTTAAATATACAAAAATGAAGACTATGATAATATTTACTTTTAAGACTTCCAGCAATAAAATTGAACTACATAGTCCAACACATACTTTTATTTTTTATTTTATACTTGAGATATATATATATATATATATATATATATATATTTATAAATTAAATATTTAACATTTATAAATTAAATATCTTACATATATATTTATATTTTATTCCATTCCTCCAAGAGTAATTTTTCTCTCTGTCTTTACAGAATGGTCAGTATTTTACTATACTAATAAATATCATTGAAATTGAAAATAATGTTAAAAGAATAAAATGTTTAAAGTTTTTTTCAGTTTCTGCCCAATCCATTTGATGTCTTTTGTTTTGAATTGTAAAAAACGAATGATCTGCTTAAGGGTAATAGGGAAAATTATCAAAATTTTTTTAAGTAAGATAAAACATTGAAATCAATATACTAGAAGGCTGCAGAATAATAGCCTGTACAAGAACAATAAGAAATGGATCTTGCAAATTCTGTGTACACGTCTTTCACTTAGACAAATATTAGAAGAATTTAATTATTTTCTAATTCTAAGTCTGCCCAATTAAGTAGAAAAGAGAAATCAGTGTTTGAGTTCATCCTAGTTCCCTTACCAATCATGATGGTGTTTAGTGAGTTCTAGAACTGAATGGGTTTTGAGTGGTATTGGAAGAAAGGGCAGATACACTCGGATTCTCCTGAGGCTCCTCTTGCTAAAGCAGACCATGAGCAGGGGCTGCCAGCTCTCTCCAGGCTGGGAGCAGCAAGGGGTTAAACAGTCCTGGTGTAATAAGTATCTCTGTCAGGCTTTCTTCTGATCCTTCCTCTTTTCTCTTCTGCCCACCCTTTTTGTAAATGTCAACCACTTCCTGATGGTTTCACACCTTTCTTTTCTTTGTGAAGAAACCTGGGTGTACCATTGTATGTTCTGGCTGGCTGTGAGTAAAGCTGAGGGATGCCTGTGGGGAAAAGTAGGAGCAGGTGAAGATATTTTAAAAATGAGACCAGGCAATGGGTTAAAATCAGTCATGTTTGTAACATGTCTGTTAGTTTTCTTAGCAACTTTTAAATATGTATTATAAAAATATTCATTTTTTAAAAAACTTAATGTTGGGAGTCTAAAGGAATCTAGCAGAAGAACGAGATGGTTCTTTTTTAAATATATCAAAGAACGATAATCAGGAAAAAACAAGAACAACACTGGAGAATTCTCCCCTGGCCCTTTACTCTACAGGTGTACTATTTATAGGATCCTGCAATGGAAACTTGGTCAGTTGATCAGGTCTGCCTTTGGCTGGTGGAGAAAAACTTAGGAGAGCTAGTGCCTAGGTTTCAAGGTGAGTTGTTCATCCTTTCAAAAATCTTGTTGGAGCAGCCTGGATATTGTGAGTTTCTTCTGTTATTAAAAATTACTTTGCTGATTCCTGTCTGTGTGTATGTAAATGTGGACGTGGAATTACTGCAGTAAAGAACTTTTTAGTTCTTTATTTACCATGAAAGAGTTTTTGTTTTACCTAGTATCTACAGGAGAAGATATTGCAAGATGAACTCAGTCTTGAGAGGGACTTAAAATACTTATTTGATACATATATTTTATATAGACTTTGCCTTATATAATCTAGTATGTGCAGTGTTAGATTTATAAGTATTTAATATTGGTCAGGAGGTATTACTAAGAATTATTTCCCAAGTTTTTTTTTCTTTATAAAAATAATGCTTGTTACATGGGGCAGGAGGCAGGGAGGGAGGGAGGGAGGGGAGTGCTGGAGAGTGATATTGGCCAATTTATATTGTTATATTTACGCATGTATGAATATGTAACAACAAATCCTATCACTATGCACAACTATAATGCACCAACAAAAATATGCAGAAAATAAAAAGACTGCAATTTAGAATTAGAATGGGGAAAGGGCATTAATGTGTAAATACAAAGTTTTTATTGTGAATCCCTTTCCTGGTTCTTTTTTAGAAGCAGACATCAATTTGGAATTGTGCAATATCAAAGTTATATTTTTGTCAAAGATACATACAATTTTATAACCACAGAGGACAAGTTTAGACAATCCTTTCAACACCAGAAATCGTTCTGTTTATAAAGCTTGTGTTTTGCTGTGTTTTACTGGGAAACCATATAGAAACTAATTTTTATCTGTTTCTCAGAGGAAGAAGTAAGTGGGGCCGCTCTTCTAGCACTTAATGATCGGATGGTTCAGCAACTGGTCAAGAAAATTGGGCATCAGGCTGTTCTGATGGACTTAATTAAAAGATACAAGCAGAACAATCAAGGACCAAGGTTTCCTGGAAGCCCCAGGGAGATAAGCCTGATCACACAAACAGAAGCAACCCCAGTGTAAGTGATGTTAACAAAAGGCCTTGTTTTTGATACTATGCTCTCCCAAGAATGGCGAGAGCATGAAGGTTGGGGTTTAAAACTTTTTGGAAAATGTGACCGTGTTCAGCTAGATTTATGTGTAAAATATTTCTAATATTTGAGGAAAGGGCACTATTGCAAAATTTTATGAATGAAGATACATTATGTTTTTATTCACCACGCTTTAAACACTGACTCCAATTGTTGGTGAAGTCCTAAAAGGAGGGGGTTCCTAAATAAAATGCTGTAGGATGAGCAGTGGAAATATAAGTGAAAGGGTGGAAATGGATTCCTGGAAATAAGGTTTTAATCCACTAAGCCCCATTGTCCCGTATGTGGGACACCTATAAAAACTTAAATTGAGCAACAAATATACCACTTAAGGTAACTTTTGAAATAAATATTATGTTTTTAGAGTTCTGTACTTTTGAGAAAAACAATAAGTGAATGATTAGAGCACTTGAAAATGCATATACAAAGAATTTAAGTTCTAGATTGTGATTTCCAACCTATTTTAATGTGTCGAGTTTGTTGAAATATTTGCAAGACTGAAAACTTGGGACTTACAAGTTAAAAACCAGGGCTTGCAAAAGGCATCTGTGTCTGCTCCTGGGTATTTATTTATTCATTTGTGTCCTTTAGGACCCTATATAGTGACTAATATATACTATCCTCTAGAGGTCCTAGAAATATGATTTACTAACCACCCTTGCCACAATGAGTTTCCTAATTCTTTAAGAGTATCCTTAGAATAATTAAAGCTATGATAGCACCCCACAGGAAACATGTGGAAACATTTGTGGTGACCCATAAAAGGCCTTATTTTTGATCCTATGCTTTCCCAAGAATGGCTATAGCATGAAAGTTGGGGGTGTTTTTTTTTCTTTATCACTGATTTATGCATTGAAAAAAAAAATGACAACAGAATTAAGCAAATTAATTTTTTTATTTTACAAATCTATACCCAGGATGCTTTCAAGCATTCTGATTTGATGTTTCCTTATTAAGAACTTTTTGCAAAATTTTTGAAATGAAATACTTGCTTCAGACCAATCATTCATTTAAAAATAAGGTTGACATGTTTGATGATATCCATTCTATTTTTATCTTTTCGGAAGTTAAATGGGTAATTCTCTCTCTCTCTCTTTCTCTTTGATAAGGAATGCAATATTAACGAGAATTGGCTCAAGTATTGATTGCTAGGATTTTTGAATATTTGGGACTTAGAGGCTGTAGGTAGTCTTGAAGGGCTGGTGTACATGGACTATAAATTCTCCCGAATGATTTATTTGAAGGATTTCTAAGCACCTTTATGGTGTATTCTCGAACATATGACTTTTGGAGAAGTTCCCATTGCAAGCTTTTACTCCTGTCCAGCAAAAGAGAGGGTGTGAAGTTCAAAGCCGGTGCAAAGTAATTTCCGGGTATTTTTGATGAGTAGAATTTTTGAACTGGAAGTTCCTTTCAGTTGACTGGAATCTTGATATTGCCTTAGGCACAGCTTAGAAGAGAACAGGCAGCCGTTTTTTTCCACTGCAAATCAGTTTATAATGTTCTCTAGTAAATGAGAGTTGGCTGGACTGCCAGGAAATCTGGGCTTCGTTCCTGGTTCTTCCACTGACTTGGATTGATTTTACTAAATGTTGGCACCCCTGTCTCTTCATCTGCACGTTGTGAAAGTTATATAGTATGTAACTCCTGTCAATTCACACTCATGTCAGGAATATTGTAATTTTTGGACAGAGCAAATCTCTCTTCCCTCTCCCTACTCAAAAACAGTGCTTTGTTAACTTGTCCAAGAAGGCTATTTTTGAGGGTAGCCAATACTGGGAACACTGGTTGCCCAAGGATTTAGGAGGGGGCACTCATCACTTTACATAGTAAATAGCCAACTCACTTTAAGGACTGTGTTCTCTTGTACTTAGGTTAGATTATTCAGGTGTAAAATTACAATTTCATGCGAGAAGAGAATGTTTGTTGGTTATGTTTGCTTATTGTCAAATATATTTGTCAAATATATCGTCACTTGACAAGTTTGTTGTCAAGTAGTAATGATAGCAGAGAAACATGAAAATATGCCCTTTAATTAAACCCTTATGGGAAATGCTTATAAAGATTCGAAACTTGGTATGAGAAAGAACCCGGAATTTAGGTATCAAAATACCTAAATTTAAACCTCTGTTAGGATATTTGCTACTCATCTAACAAAAGAAGATAAAACTTGGACATTTGTTTGACTTGTTTTAGTTTTAGCTTCTTCAAGTGTAAAATGTAGTGGGTAAAATAAATGATGCTTTTGGCCCCTTCTGAAGAGTCTATAAAGGCATTCTAGATCAGAGACAGGTTTCAGATTCCATTTAATGGCCAATGGTTGCCTGGTATGTTATTTTTGCAAAGGATTTACAGGCCACATCTAGATAGGATTTTTGGCATACTATTTAGAACTAAGTAAACAATAGGATATCAATAGGAGAGTATTTACAGTTACTTTATGGTGGCCTTGTTGAATCTGGTAGAAAAATTACTGGACAGGAAATCAGGAAAACTGAGTACAAATCTTGGCACTACTACTGAGTAGCTTGTGGCCACGAACAACTTGCTTTCCCTTCTGGACTTCAGTTGCATAGCTTAGAAAATGAGAGGGTATGGCTCTAAGAATGATGAGATTTTACAGGTAATAAATGCTCCCCCCAAATGGCAAGGAGTAGAGAAAGGATCTGACAGATAACCATTTTATTTTGCTAAATAAGTATATTAGCCATATGTACTATTATCGCCCTCATTTCATAAATGAAAAGATTATCTTAACAGCATTTAAAAATAAGAGACAGATTGAGGGCTCCAGGCATAGCTCAGTTCCATCCCCAATTCCAGGAAGAAAATACAACAGATTGGTGAAAACACCATCACAAACTAGTATCTGTATACTTCTTAGCATATAGAATCCACTGAGGGAGACATCTTCAGTACGTCCTCCCTTCAAGTCTTTTAGTCATGAGTCTCACATGAGCTTGGACAGGAACTTAGATCACAGCATTGACTGTGGGTTGACCTCCTACCCTCAGAGTTGCTGTGAGATCATTGTTTGGGGCTGTCATTGAATAGCCTCACACCAGTTCTTCCTTCTTTTCTTGGTTCCAGGGATATACAGTCCTCCAGTCCAGCCAGTCATGGGGAGCAGATGCCATCTTTCCATCCAGCTGAAAACCTTGATAATGGACTAATTGACCAAAGAGTATTGAAACAGAGGTGAGGTACCAAAGTTAAGACATTTCAAAGCTAAATGATAATATTCTTCTTTATTTGTTATGAGATTTTATGTGTTTAAATGCATTTCTAATTTGAAACTCTTTGTTTCCCTAGAAGGAAACTTTTAGTAAGTGATAGAGATGTTTGGTACCACTTGAAGATTAAATTTTATGTGTTTTGCCCTAAAAAATTGAAGTTTTGAAATGATGTTATACATCTCTTTCAAGTATGCATTTTAAGGAAAAATAAAAGAGGATTTCATAAACTTGTCCAAATTAATTTGCAGTGGCTACAAAATGATGGAATTTATTCTGTGGATAATGTTCTACAGAATATGCCTTGGGTACAGTCTTTGCTTTGTTTTGAATTTTGATGTTGTTGCTTTAATTTGACTATTGATAGACAGTCCCTTTATGTTCCTACTCTGTATTTTATATGGTATAATATTTCAGTGTATTGGTTCCATTGAAACAAAGGAAAGTTCTAGACCTAGAGAACCACAGGTAGGAATATAGTGCTCAGATAAAGTCGTCAGAGTGATCATGGGTAAGAGGAGCTTCCTGAGCTTTTCATGGTCACCAGGCAGTGCATGCATCTATCATGCATGACAGATATCATCTCTTGTCACTAACTAGCCAACACTTCTCTTCAGGGGCGCTGTCATTGAAAGGAGTGACTGCTGGCTTGCACAGAGGGGACAGTCAGGCAACAGCCAAGCAAAATGGTGCTCTTTTAAAGTTTTCATGCACCCTTTATTCTATCATCTCATTGAGTCCCCAGAGCCTTGAAATGCTGTTCTTTTAAAAAGTGGGTAGTGTAAAATAAAAATATGCTATTGTTCGCTGAATTTTTGAGAATCATATTGCTAGGGAGGCCTCATTCCTTCAGAGAACTGTGATGCCACTGTGTAGCCATAGTGTAATACAATTGGTTTCCTTGAAAGAGAAGATGCAAAGAAAGGAGCAGAAAAATATATCAAACTGGAATGGCAGAAAGGAAGATGTCTATTGTTTCATGAAATATACCAGGAAGTCCAGAGAAGGCTATTTATTGGTTCCTGATTCCCATTGGGTTAAAAATCCAGAGATGAATTTCTCTTTTCAAAGTAAGAAAATTAAATCCAAATGAAAGGCATAAATGCATGGCTAGTGGATTTATCTCCAAACAGAATATAAACCAAAAGTGATGGCTTGGAGGCAGAAATTTTTTAAATAATTTCTTTATTGGAAATATATTTTTTAAAAACCCACCATCTTTAATGGAAGTCTGAGAGTTTAGAGAATCCTAAAGGATGATGATAAAGTTCAAGATGATTACTAGGTGGTGGGCCTGGTGAGCAACCAGTTCATACTGGGCAGATGGAGTGCCCAGGGGCTGCAGAGCTGGGGAATGGAGAGATCACCTGATGTGGTTGATGGTTCAAACTGTTTCACAGAGCAGTCACTCCTTTCTGCCCACAGGTGCTTGTTGATTCTTAGAACTCTGCTTTGTTGTGGTTCCATCCATGTGTTTTCTACTACTCCTTTCTTACATGAAACTGCTAAATGCAGCCAGTCTTTTCTGCCACTATTGAAGTGTGAATGGAGACAGGATGATTAATCCTAGTGGGACCTACTCTGGTACCACTGTTTCAGATCTGAAAAACAGGGATGATAACGATCCTCTCTCAGGGTACTATCATAAGCATGAAAATAGATGATACCTGCTGAGTTCCAAGCAGAGTGGAAGCACATCAAAGGCCCTGGTGTACAGCCATTTCCCCAGCCTGCTTGAGTATTCCTACTTTTCCTGGGGCATCTTTTCTCTCTCTACCTGCTGCCACTGGGGAGTTGAGGATGCGACCTTCTGTACATGCAGGTCTTTTCTCCTTCCAGAATTCCTGTTCCTTTTAACCGTGCTATGAAAAGGATTATTATTTCCATTTTTTCCCACAAAACTGAACAAAGAATGGCCTGTGTTTCATCGTATTTCTCATTCTTCATAATCAATGAGGGGGAGCAAAAGAACAGGATTGTCTTAGAAACTGAGAGAAATGGGAAAGTTTGGAAATCATAACTGAGACCCCCAGGCCTTTTTCTCTCATCATAGCATCTCTCCTAAGCCTTGGACTTGTGCCTCTGACCTCCCAATAGCCCATTTCTCTACACAATAGCCTCAGTTGTTTTAAAAGCGAGCTTATCTCCCTGCCTTAGAGCATGCATGGTTGGAGCATCTCTCTGTTGTTTCCCACCTGCCTCCTTCCTTTGCTTCTTCCTATGCGGATGGCTTTACCCTTTGCTCTGCTCCCCTCAGATTGGCTGGAACAGCTGACTTGCCACCGCCAACTCCAAAGAAAACTCTTCCTGAAATCAGCTAAGGGCTCAAGTCCTTCCTGTCAATAGACCTGACTTTCCAATGCTGCTTCATTCTAGAATCTGGGGAAAAGAAACAGGCCCAGTGTGAATCTCTGTGACAGAAGAGGTAGATAAGGGCAGGATAGAGATGGCTGTTTTAAATATTTCCCCTCAGGTTCTGCCTTCTTTCTAGGCCTGCTGATTGGGCTGGAATGGAAGATTCTGTCCCTTCTGATGCACTGCCTCATTCAGGACACCATCTGGCTTGTGAGCTAAAATAATGAGAGCTAAACTTGATGCTTTCCTACTGGTCCTCTGCTTAAGGCACTATTTACTCATCAGCTATTGATTAAGGGCTTCTGGAACGACTTTTGTATGAAGCTGTGTTCCTCACCTAAGACCCGCTTATCCTTTAAGACTGCTCGAAATCCCTCTCCAGCAAGCCTCCAGTGATGTTCCAGACCATTCAAGGAGCCCTTCTGTATGTAGTACTCTCTATGTATCTTTTGCTTTGCTTGTAAAAGTAGATATTGAAATTGATTACTTTTAAGTCTGTATTCCCTCCTTAGACACAAGCACCATAAAGACTAAGACCATTTCCTTTTGCCGTTATAAACTAGTATTTATCTCAGCTTCTGGACTAGAAGCTCAATCAGTTGTTTAAAATTGAACTAAGGATATGTGAGCCAAAGAAAGACTGAATATAATTTCATGGGACAGGAAAAATACTTAAATAGCATCCATTACTATATAGACCTTTTGATATAATCCATAATACATATGCTAATTTTTTAACAGAGTTGAATTTAAGGGGTTAATAAATCATTTACTTACATCAGGCTAGAAAGCTGAAGGTGTTTGGCCATAGGGCTTCCACAAAGCCAACTGCTTTCAGGAGGTAGCAAGGGGTGGTAGAGTAAATGCTGGCATTGGGATCAGCTCTAGACTCCCCCATTTCAATTGAAGTCCAATTGAAATAACTCAAAGCATCTGGCAGCTGTCACCACACCACACACAGTGGCAGTTACCATTCTTGAGATATTTTCCCCTATGTTCCTTGAAAGGAACATATGTTTTCCATCCAATTTGCAAACAAAACAAAAAAGAAGACTCTGGAGACTGGAAAGTCACCTGACTTTGGCTCTTGAAGAGTCTAGCAATAGTGAAAAAAATGAGGTATGTATGTCCCCATGGATGAACTGGAAAGAAATGCTAGCATGCTGTGGCACAATGCAGCTTTCTTTGGTGATGGGTGATCCTGTGCTCTTTACTGAATTACCTAAATACTCTTTCTGGATGTAAGGATTGTGGGTCCCAATCTCATCATGTGTTGGTAGTCCTTCAAGAAGAGCTTTCTCTGCACTGAGATTCTTTTTTCTTTTCTTCTTCTTTTTAAATCTACCCTATTAGAAACTGCTCGCTTCTTCTTTAGTAGCTAATAGTGCATGAAATCAGATAAACAGGTAGCAGTTTCCTACATGTTACTTTAAAGGCACTTCATTTGAACTTGAAGTATATGTGTGCAGATGTTTTGCTTGTGCTTTGGAGCAGAGCTATAAATTAGTCATGGTTTCATGCATATTTAAAAATTCTTTTAATGATGAGGATATTTTCCCCCCTTTGGTCTGACTACTGCTATGAAATGGTGTAGAAGGAGATTACCCTTCTTCAGCCTATGCTCAGTAAGTGAAGCAATGTCAATGGGTCTTCAACACATTCAGTGCATTATTTTTAGTCACTCACACAGGTAGCTCAGACAGGGGATAACAGGGTTGTGTGTGTCTCCTATCCCAGTATATAAGAAAAGGTAGTTTTAGGAGGGGGAGGCAGGCTAGTTATAGGTCTCATAGTACAAGTTTCAATTAGATGTGTAAGATTAGTCTTCTCAATTCCTAGACGTCTATGTCCTCTATTAGCCGTGAGTTCCAGGAGGTGGAGGTGTCAGGGACCACTCTTACTCACTTCTGTAGGGCCTGACATGACACAGAGTAGGTGATCAACAGATGTTTATTACATGAAGAATCAGATGTATTAAGCATTTTTTGTGATCTTCTCCTGAGTCAAAGATATGTGACCATAATAGAGAATGAAGGAGCCTTGTAAGAGAACAAGGGGTGAGACATGATATCTTCAGACCTATTGCCTTAGTCACAGCTATATAAGGCAGATGGGGCAGGTAAGAGGTAAGTGCAGGTACTGAACCAGGATGGCATCCTGGTTATAGCCAGGTTGGTAAATTTGGAGAAACAGGATAAGCAGGTAATTAAGAGTTTAGTTTTAAACCCTAGCTCTGCTATTTACCAGATGAATGATGCTGAGCAAGTTCTCTAGCCTCGGGGGGACTTACTTTTCCCATCTGTAAAATAAATAGAAGAACAAGTTAATGTATTAAAAAATTTTAAGGCCTGGGGCGTAGTATGAACACAAAAATCTTAGCTATCATTTTAATTTTCTGGCTGGTTACCAAGCATAGGGTTCAATGAGACTCAAAAATTCTGCTCTCAATTGTACAAAGTGGTCCCAGGGATTGCACCAGGAAGTTCTGTCAGACAGTACAGACAGCAGTGTCTGGAAATCCTGCCAGGATTCAGGCTCCAGGCAAGAGGAGGAGATGCTCCAGTCTCCCCAGAAGGCCTGGGACATCGGTGGATAGCTGCCATAGAAGAT